CCCCAAAACCCCAAAACCCCAAAACCCCAAAACCCCAAAACCCCAAAACCCCAAAACCCCATAGTGAACGTCTGCTGTTAAATGCAATTTTTCGACAATATTTCAGGAATACTTTGAAACTTCTTTGGTGTGCCCAAAGAATCATTTCCATGAAGATCATAATGCCCAGCAGAGGAGGATTAAGAGCATAAAAATTTCAAAATGAGGTCTGTAGGTTCATTGGAACTTAACCCTTTTTGACCTGAAAAGATAGGCAAATTTAGTGATCGCAACGCAATGATCTTTTACTTTAAAAATGTTTTACAAAATTATTAATTGGATTTAGAGCAATATGAATGCAATTTCCTGTGCTTCAGAAGATTTCCTTTCTGTGTGAAGGACTTCTGGCATGTAATGCATTTGAAAGGCTTATCACCTGTATGTGTCTTGAAGTGGTCCAGAATATTCCAAGTTTTGGTAAACTTCCTTCCACAGCCTTCATAAAGACAGGTGATTAACTTGTTCATCCTCTTAGTTTTGTGGTTATACACATGCTCTGTCTTACAAGGATGGGCCTTAAGTTTCTCCAAAAGAGGAGCTTCTTTTCTCGATCGGGGTGCTGAAGGGCTCTTGCGGATACTTTCTTGAGCATCCTGAGTAGAATTTACCCCACAGTCCTCCTCAGTTGCCTCTTTCTCCTTTCTGTCAGAAGTTGGAGTCTCTTCGAAAGAGGAATATTTTTTGCAGTTTTTGGTGATATCGTGTAACGTTTGCATATTACGAGAATTTCTGGCTGCTACCAAATTTCCTGTCATGTGACGTTCGTTCAGAAAATTCTCAGGGAACTTTATTGTAAAAGCCGAATTTACTAATAGGCCTATATCTTGACTACTAGCAGGGATTTGGCTGTAAGAAAGCCTCATTGTTTCCTCAATTAGCGGTTGAGGTACTCTAAAGCGTTAAAGTCTAAAATTTACCTTAATTTATTTGCCAATGCTGATCGGTAGATTTAGATTTAAGATCAGTCACTCTTCTTCATTCTTCGACTTTTGATTTCAGCATACATTATTTATTTTCAGGAAATCATTAGATATGGGGTAGTTGTTTCTAATTCTATAGATATTTATGTCAGATGTGAACTGGTGGTTTTTAGAAAAAATTAAGATTCAGCAAACCCAACTTCGGGCTTTTTCTTGCTTAATTGTAGATTTTTGCCTATCTTGGCGGAAGCCTTAATTAACCAATTACAAAGGCATTTAAAACATCAGCAAGCTCCAAAATAAGTGAAGAGAACTGCTGCTTCATTATCAGACCAAGTATCAAATAATTCTCAAAAAGTCAGGAAGACTTACTCTTCAGATATCATATAATTATGTATTATTTGATTCAATCTTGACTTCTTTTTATGGGGTTTTGGGGTTTTGGGGTTTTGGGGTTTTGGGGTTTTGGGG